TTGACAGATGACATGGTCGATATGACAGATAGTGCTGTCGATAACATAGATTAAATTAGTGCTTTTCATTTAGGTGATTTTCGCCGTCTAACAATACATATTATAATAAAATTGTGTAAAGTCAGTAAATTGAAAATGTTAAAAAAAATAGAGGGGCTGTTACTAGAGGTAGATACACACCCAACATAAATATGTGCTTAACCAAATTTGCCTATCTGTTTGTCTGTCCGTCTGCATCACTAAAAAGCTATCACTCCAAGCAAGTACCAATGTGATTTTTTCCGAGTCATATGTACATTTTAAGATTATCTAGACTATAGATGCTGGCGGGAAAAATTCCGAATCATTCCCGTCGAATATTTCGGAAGCATTCCAAAATATTCTGAAACTTTGGGAATATTTCAACTGTCAGAAAAAATCGGGAAAATTGTATTAACCTATTAAAAGTGCTCGATTGAGTACAGCGTAATGAAGTAAAATAATAAGTAAAAAAAATAATAAGGTAAATTACTTAAAATTTACAAGATCTGTACCTAATTTAAACTTCGGGATAAGGCTGTACCTACTCAATCGAGTACAGTGACTTCTAGTGGGTTAAATAAATCTGTATTTTAAAATCTTTTTAAATTGTAACTTTTCGTTAATCTATTTTTTCAGATATAATTTGATGTGTAAGTAAAACAGTCATTTTGAATTATTCTGATTTAAAGAAACTTTCTCAGAAGTATTCCGGAATTATTCAGAATTTTTCAGAAGTTTTGCAACTATAATCTAGACACCACTGACAAACGATGAAGGATTCCTCACGATGTTTTTCGTGAGGAATCCTGGGCTTATAATATCTAATTATAAGTTTAAAATCGCCAACCCGCAATAAGTAAGCGTGGTGATTAATGCTCAAAACTTCTCCGTGTGAGAAGAGGCTTCGCTTAGCTAGCATTTATAGGCTGATGATGATGATGGTGATGATGAAGAACTACATAATATGACGCCTTTTATCCCCGAAGGGATAGGCAGAGGTGCACACAGAAGTAACACCCACTTTTCACTATTAATGTTATGAGTCCCATGTAATAGGGGGTGAACCTATTGCCATATACCGGGCACATTTCCAGACTCCGTGCTACTACTGAGAATTTAAAAAAAACCCAGTAACTCTTACTAATAAAAAACTACTACTACTAAAAAACAGATTGTCTAACATTTTATTCAGATAAATACGTATTATAATACATACAGATATAATACTGACTTGAATTTAATACACAATGAATCGTAAATGACACAATGACTTTTCATTCCTACATTTTCTCAAATTGCATCCGCTAAGGTCGTACCATCGTTTTGAAATGGCTTTGTCAGGCAAAGGTCTTCGTTTACCCTCATTTGCTTTGAAAAAAAAAAGCTATTCATGTTATTTTATACAAAGTACTCTAACAATGTATTGACCCTCACTCAAAAACCATGATGTTGACAATTTTGTCTTCAAAAATCTTTTTAGGAAACTTTTCATTTAATGGACGGTCTTTAAAGTATCTTCTTTACTTCGTTGGTCTCTGCATGAAATTTTAATGATGTTTTAATAACAGCAACTTCGGTGTTTTTTAAGTAAACTGATTTATTATGGGGAGTTCCTTTTTGGCAGTCTAAATACTTAAGTACACGGAGGTTCTACTAAGATTAGCAAAAATACTTAGTAATTTTTTTGTGTAATCTTTGACCACACAAATAAAAATTACGCTTCATTTGACGCATTTTTGTTTATTTTTACCACAAAATAACGTGACGCATTTATCCCCAAAGGGGTAGGCATTGAGGTAATACCCACTTTTCACTATTAATGTTATGAGTCCCATGTAATAGGGGGTGAGCCTATTGCCATATACCGGGCACCGTTTCAGACTACTTTAAAAAAACCCGTCATACTTTGCCCGATCCGGAAGTCGAAGCTGAGAAACTGCTCGGCAGTCGCACTTGCGACCACTCGGCCAACGACGCAGTCTTCTGAAATATAGGTAGTTAGGTACAAGCTATGTATAATAGCGGGATCTCTTAACTCGTCGAGTACCGGTTTTGTAGACACAATTATAGAACAATAGGTTGCGGTCACCGGTGACCGCTTGGTGTTTGACAGTTTAATCTTTTATTAAATTAATGTACACCGCAGAATACTAATTTCCATTTCTGGTCTTCGATTTCGTTCCTTATTCGATGGTAGAATACATCTCAAAATGCATTATTTGTCTAAACTACATGCGTGCATTTCCTGATACGACAGAACTCATTGGAGTGAAATTAATACAACGCCACCGAAGCGACCACCTCGTGCGTCGTATGTAATGGTTATTTCTAGTACAGCTTAAAGGTCACAGCACACTCAACAGTCACGACTCCGGCACGAGTGCAGCACGGCATTTTTTGCTTTGGAAACAATACAAAAGATTGTAAGTGTGGTGTCGACGTACGGGCGGTGTGGTTGCAGATTTTTGTATCAATTGGGTGATGCCAACTAGTCAAATTCAATACTTTATTCTAACTGTTAAAAACGACAGTTTTCTATCAATTTTGTCCGAGATTGTGTATTATGACGTCACATTTTTTTCGCTTCTAACAGTATGTTTAATTCTTAAAAAAATGCTGGAAAGCACTAAAATTAAGTTGGTCACAAATTCAATTAATGAAAGTGTCATTATTATTTAATATTTCATTGTATTGAACAGTCGAAATAATTATTTTTTGATTAATTGACGTTATGAAATATATTATTCGACATTATGACTTAAAGTTCATTTTACAATTGCTAGGTTGGAGCCGTGCCGGTTATGTGTGCTACGACCTTAACGCTTTCACGTTTTATTTTCACAAAAATGTTTCCTATTTCCTTCACATTGTGAATCATATTCGATCGGATAGTGTTTTTTTTTTTCACTTTTGATGGAATAAAATTCGGGTAGTGCACCCGAACGAGTTTTGGGCTAGAGATAGAATCAGTTTGATGTATTGTGTTTCCCATATATAATGGTCGCACACGTGCATTGGATTCATACTTTTTGTATATTTTTCTGTATTTACGAATTTATATTTTATTTTCTAAGCTTTTATTTGACGATGCTCTAATCTAAACTTTACAGTTCTATCTAAACGTGACAGTTTAATAAAAATAAACAAATTGTTTTGGGTATGTGTTATTTATAAATTATATTTATTGTACTTTTATTATACAATCAGTGTTATTTATAAATTATCTATTACCTACTTCGTCTTTAGTTTTAAAAAATTGTTATATAATATATAGTAGATATGTAAAGTTCAAATAATAGTTAAGCACATCACATTACATACATACATAACATCACGCCTTTTATCCCCGAAGGGTTAGGCAGAGGTGCACATTATGCCACTGTATAATGTACCGCCCACTTTTCACTATTTATGTTATAAGTCCCATGTAATAGGGGGTGAGACTATTGCCATATACCGGGCACAATTCGAGACTCCGTGCTACTACTGAGTTTTTTTAAAACCCAGTAATACTTTGCCCGACCCGGAAATCGAACCCGAGACCCCTTGCCCAGCATTCGCACTTGCGACAACTCGGCCAACGAGGCAGTATAAAGATCACATTAACAGCCTATAAATGGTCACTGCTGACCAAAGGACTCTTCTCACACGGAATAGGTTTTAGCATTAACCATCACGATTGTTCAATGCGGGATAACGATTTTAAACTTATAATTAGGAATTATAAGCCCAGATTTCCTTACGATATTTACTTCACAATTTTTCAGCAGTGTCTAAAAAATCTTAGATTGTATATGTAGCTCAGAAAACTCGAATTGATACTTGCCGTTGAAAGGTTTGGGACTCGCCGCCCTCATGCATAAGTGGCCGTCTTAAACCTCTGGGCGACCACGACATTATAGTTTACCTATATATGAACGTATATATATCAGACCAATTAATGTTCCGCATACAGGAACCTTCGATCGAAACTCGAGACCTCTAGACTCGTAGTCATAGACAGATATTCAATTATCAAGTAATGTGATTAAACTGTCAAACACCAAGCGGTCACCGGTGACCGCAACCTATTGTTCTATAATTGTGTCTACAAAACCGGTACTCGACGAGTTAACGTGATGTAGTTCAATTAGAATTATTGTGTATCTATAATCCTATAACCCAAAAAATTGTAATATCTATTAAACTATAGAACAATACCTACAAGCAGTATATTAATAATAATATAATAATACACAACCGTGATGAAGATAATTGGTGAATTATTATTGTGTACATTTCAGTTAACCATTCGTATTTGCATGTGCGGTGATTTTACAACAAGATGATATGTTGCCTAAGTGACCAAGTAGTCGCAAGTGCGACTAAGCGGTAAGGTCTCGGTCTCGGTTTGATTCCCAGGTCGGGCAAAGTATTACTAAGTTTTTAAAAATGTTAGTAGTAGCACGGAGTCTGCATATGTGCCCGGTATATGGCAACAGGCTCACTCCCTATTACATGGGACTCATAACATAAATAGTGAAAAGTGGGTGTTAATTGTAGTGGCATTACTTGCCTACCCCTTCGGGGATTAAACGCGTGATGATGTGTTATGTTATGATATGTTGTAGGCTCTGAAAGAACTGTATTCTATTTCACATGCATTTTTAACGAATGCATATGACACAAATAACTGTAATCAAAATTTTGACATGGCTCTGTACAAAGCCAAATCCCTAAAAAATCTACAGGCTTTTGTGTACGAGAATTTCAGCTTTTTCAGACATGTGTAATACTAAAAATGTTAGGAAAAATATTTATGTCGTTTTTTTTACAACAGATTGAAAGTTTATAACTCCAATTTGATGGCTTACGCCAATATTTCACACAAATATCAAAAAACTTCTGACACTCATTGCTAATAGGAACTCATCATAATTAACACTTAGGGTTCAATAGATGGCAGTAACATCAAAAATGGAAATACAAATTGTACTTACAATGTCGTTGCCATTTGAAGTTGTGTTGTATCTCATGCCGCATTCCCCTCCACAGTTTGGTGACAATCAAGGAGTAGGCAAATGACATGATGAAGATTGGTATTAGCAAAAGACCGGCGTCCAGTCCAAGATTGAAGGCTCGTTCCAATTCCAGACTTGTCCAAACTTCTCTGCACTTGAAGGCTGGAAAGAAAAAAATATGTTTAAAAAGAGAATAACAAGAGATGAAGAAGAAAACTTCCCATTTATAAAATGATTTTATGTAATTATCTGAAAACAGATTATTATAATAGGCACACTCCTCGAACAACAGCCAGGCATTGTTTTCAGTTCGCGTATTTTTAAACATTCATGTTAATTAGTCACTCTTGTGTTTTAAAACCGTGAACTTATTCTTAAACTATTTATTAAAAATTCCAGGCATATGTAGTACATCGGCTTCAAAATAGAATGCTGAAAGGCGTGCTCAAAAATTTTTAAAAATCGAACGCTTCTCGATTTGGAAATATGCCTGAAATGAGCGAACTAATTGGGTAGTGTCCTAAGTTTTTTTTTTCAATACAATAAATATAATTCAAAAGCAATCATACTTTCTTCTATTGATTTGACGATTGACCTACTTTTGGATTTTCCTCGCTAATTTTAAGGAATTATGTGTGCTATTTCACGCAGAAATATGATGACGTCACAGGTCGCGATCCAATACAAAATTAGTAGAAAAGTATCGTTTTTGACATTTAAATAAAAGTATTCGATTTGACCAAAGAGTATAGAATATAGGAATTTGACTGTCATCAACATGTTTCAAAACATGCTTTTTCCTAAACTATAAAAAAATATTGAATACTGAATAGACACACTTATAAACATTTTACACCGACTACAGATTATATCAAACAACAAAATCGCTTAACGTATAGTTACTGACAACTTCATAATAGTTCACAGAAAAATGGTCTGCAAAATTCTGACATTCTATTAACAATGAACTGTATTGGTTGTTACGGGCTCTTTTCTTGTAAGTTCAGGTCACTGGGTCAGCTGACAACGCTTGTTGACTTTGATAGGATGTCGTATTGACCTATTGATACAGTCAGCTATTAGGTTACGTTGCTATTGTTCAATGGTTGAAGATTTAATAGCATAAAGGAATTGTATGGATATTTGCCATTGGCTATATCTAGTAATGTACCTACCTATTGCGAAAAGATAATAATATAATTATGAAATCCCAATAATATTTTCTTCCATTCTAGTACTGAACTTATAAATTAACAATGTTAAGATCTTTGACTTTTATTTCAATAGAAAGAAACAAGAAAATATCCTTGTTTTGTCACTAAACCACAAAGGAAAAAGAAATCATGTTGGGTTTGAACTCTTACATCATTTTCAAAAGCTGCCCTCGAGACACCCAAAGATATTTTGTTTATTTTTTAGTTCAAAGGACGTTGGGGAAAAATATAATGTACATTTGATTTTCTTCAGGAACGACAAAGCTCGCAGATAACTGTTTAGGAGTTCGTTCATGCGTTTTCAGATTGTAATGTGTTTGTAAAAACCTATATTAAACTGTCAAACACCAAGCGGTCACCGGTGACCGCAACCTATTGTTCTATAATTGTGTCTACAAAACCGGTACTCGACGAGTTAAAAACCAGTTTCTTTTTTTCATATAAAAGTAAAATGCCTCAATAAGAGACCCTTTTTGCACATTTCTTCTGTTGGTCATTAGAGTGGAAAATTGAATGTTAATCAACAATTTATACACGTAGGGAAACGTAATGATGTATTTGTATTTAGACTTAGATGTCAAATGATTCAACTATACAATAGGGTAGATGACTAATTTTTATTTAATGTCCGTCTGGTAAATGAAACGAATAGTTTCGAAGACATTGATTTGAAATATCGCATGCTTTCACTTTTGTGTACGATTTATACTCTAAAATGACTCCTAAACTTTGATTGGTTTTATCTAAGTATTGTTTTCTTATACGACAAAATAAAAAATACGTGTCTAATATTTTTTATTTGCCTATCTGACGGAGTAATAAGATTTTTATTTTCATACCCTGTATCATCCCTATTATACAGATAAATAAAATTGGTGTGTCTGTATGTAGAGGTAAAAAAAAACAGTTTTTTACTCCATGCATATGAATTACATATGACAGATAGGTATACATACGAAATTAATAGTTTTAAAATTTTTGTGTTTGACTGTCCGTCTATCTGTTTGTACTGGCTAATCTCTGGACTGGCTGGACCGATTTGGCAAGACTTTCGTTGGCAGATAGTTGATGTACTAAAAACTACTTTTATTTTCGAAAAAAAAAAAGTTTGTCTAAAATTCATATTCTACGCAGAGTCGCTGGCAATAACTATTATTGAAATAAATAATAACACCTACTTTCATAATTGGGCATTGTGAAACGCCGTAATAATATGTTATTGATACTGATCATATCGTCTGCGCTATTTACGCATACGAAATGTAAAACTGAAAAAAAAAAAACTTTAATTAATCTCTCAATATGGAAATCTATCCTGGGACTAGTGTGACTACTTGACGAACAAACATTAACAATCACATCGTTTGGATATTAGTTATAACATTAACAACATTCAATTAAGATTTTATTTTTAACTAAATTACAGAGACTAAAAGAAACTATGCCCCACAAAAGGTAAGATTTTCTGCCGTGTCGTGGGTGCTTTTACTAATATGCAATTTCACATACATAAGACACCCAGACCCGAAACAACAATTTGTAGGACCGAACAAAGAGTTGCTCTATGCGGGAACCAAACTCGATACACATTACGCGAAAGCCGGTTGCTCAACCACCGCGCCAACACTGCAGTCAAATTGTAACTTAATAAGCGAAAAATTCTACACAAATAAAACACAGTACGGTCAGTTTCATACCGTACACAAAATGCCACAAACCGCTATTGATATTGTATCGTAAGTTTCCAGTATCATGAAAAATAATGCAATCATGTGTGAAAAACGTGTGAATCATATCAGCACTATTTCAGATGGTTTTTTTTGTTAACCGCGGCACAAAAATAACAATACAATATAAAGCTACAACAGTGGGATCGAATAAAATGATACAGCCTAAACTATTGTTTGCGGTAACCATATTTGTATTGAAAATTTGTTTTATTTACGGTGGTTTTCGTTTGATGATTTTTTGTAAACTTTTCATATTTCGTTTGCAACACAGTTCACACACAAAACGCAATTGAGTCTAGGTATGGGTAACTCATAAATTAAACATGTTGTGAAAATCTGGCGTAGGTATTCGCCGAAAAGAATCCGAGACGCTAGCGCGCGTTAGCTCCGCGCGCCGCCGTCAGCGCGTTGAGTCGGTTGTGTAAAAGTTTAATTTTGTTTATTTTTATCATGGGAGCGTCATGATACAGCCACGTTGAGGAGCAAAGTATAAGAAAATATAGCTGGTCTTACATATTATTATTTTAAAAATATAACCACAGAGGTCTCTCACGGATGATAAAATTGCATACGTTAAAACAGCAGGGAATTAATTTGCTTGCTGTACAGTGGACACCAGTCCGGTTTTATGTTTTGCATGAGTGTTTGCATTAAATCTTTTTGAAATATCACAATGAAACTGGAAGTTTTTTTTATATTACCTTACTTTACAATATTATTTAAATATGACGAATATCAAGTCAAGAAAAAGTTAGAAACATATTTATCTGATTTATAGGAAATATGAATCGATGGAAAATACTTCCTAATATTCTTTCAATACTAACTTCGAGTTGGTCTGAAAAAACTTTTTATCGCATAACAAGTCGAAACATGTCAAACAAATCAAACTTGCGACCTTGAACTGTCTGAAGTAAAATCGAGAAGTTGTAGATCGAAAAAAAATAAGTTTTTAACATCATGCCTTTTATTCTCGAAGGGGTAGGCAGAGGTGCGCTATACGGCACTTACTACTACTGTACATTCATACAATGTAACAGCCGCTTTTCACTATTTATGTTATGAGTCCCATGTACTAGGGGGTGAGCCTATTACCATATACCCAGCACATTTCCAGACTCCGTGCTATTACCGAGTTTTTTCAAAAAAACCCAGTAATTCTTTGCCCGACCTGGGAATGGAACCCGAGACCAAGGGGTCTCGGGTTCGATTTCCAGATTCCCGGGCAAGGGCCCGGTAGTCGCACTTGCGACCACTCAGCGAATGAGGCAATAAAGCTCAGCTGCCCAGTCGACAGACGGTCGACGCCAACGCGGTAACCGTGCAGTATTGAAAAGAGGTCTATGAATAAATTCCTTTCTTGAACATAAGAAAAACTTCCATGACTCTTTCGAACTACCTACAGCTATTGCATAACATTGTGACAATACATTTTGTATCGAATCCAATTTAAATGTCTCAGTTATAAGAGAAAAATCTAAAGCATTGAAAGTTTGAATAGTACAGACTATTGAGAATCGAAGACTTAAAGTGGCTACTTACTTTGTAAGACGAAGTGGTATTCAGCCGTTGAGTAGTTGAGCAAAGAAAAACTTTTGACTTGTTTAAAAGACGTAATAGTTTCGTAAGAATACTACTCTATTTATCAGACCTGTGCATACGGGGTCATGTCGAGTTCCACGCGCGCCTAAAAGAGCCATCAGACACCCACAGATGGGGTCCAGTAGGGCTGATGCCAAACCGGAGCTTTAGAGACGGAGCACCGAAACCACCGCCGCGACGAAACCATCGCGTTCTTACTCCCTTAAGGGCAGAAGTAAGAACGTGGTGGTTTCACCTCTTAAAAAGGCCCTTCAGAGATCAAAAAATTTCAGTTGTAGTCCGTATAGTTCCGTTTGTGAGTCATACCTTATCTATGTAGTTATGAAATTTTAGGGAACTAGAGTAACATCATATTTTTCACAGCAAAAACTACATCACAAGATCGCCACAATTAACTAACACGCTGTCTTTAATATCCCAAAAACAAACGAGAACTATTTATCATTATTTATGTACACACATGTTACGGTACGGTGTAGTAGACGGATCAACGGTGTAAATGAAGAACGTTTGTGCATCGCGAGAACTTTCCATACACGAGGCGCGAACTCAGCATTAATAGTCGATCTAATTTCAACTCGTGTGAAGAGCGGTATTCTTGGTACAACATCGATCA